GATATGAATCAAAGAATGATATTGTACTAATATATACTGTAAACAATGAATTATGAATTGTTTTATTAATTTCAGATGATTTCTTCTTGGTCAGTCCTTCTGGTCCACCCAGTCGTCCAATCAGTAATCCAAATGTCACTGTTGCCTCGGCTGTCAGTGTTGCTGTTGTTCTTCTTCTAATTGGTGCAGTTTTCTTTGTATGGAAGTGGAGAAGAGGAAAATTCAGTAAGTCATTGTTTTCTCTAAATGATGAATAATTGTGTTTTACCCTCGTAAATAATAATAATAATTATTATTTCTCATATAATCAATCAATCTATCAAGAAATGATTTTATGTGTTACTTCTAAAAATATTTCTGAGTCCAGTGTAAAAGATTTAAAGGGATCTGTCAGCACAACAATCACCTGAAGAGTAGAATTGTTGTCTTCTGCTCATCATTGTTTATTAGTAGAGAAACTCAAAATCCACCAACCTTTATTGTATTTGTTGGCTCTAAGAATGTATGTTGGCTTGAATGAATGAATGATTGAAATAAAAGAAAAACATGTTCAGAAACTGTTACCAACTAGGAACCCACAGGAGGCAAACCTTCCCCCAAAAAATCAATGTACTCCCAGTGCTGGTCCCATATTTCCATACTGGATCTGTTGAGGCTTGGATTAACAACAAGTGTCTCCAGAGCTGTTGATAAACAGGGTGCTCATGGAAACAGTGCTACTGTTGGTTAAAGACAAAGGGAGAGGAGGGAGACAGCATGAGAGAGGGAATATTTTAGATATCAGTCTCATGACAACATGTTATATTGGGGTGATTTGGTACTATGAGGTCATTAAGATAGATGGAGCCAAATAGTTCAAGAATATAGATGACTACTCATGTGTGGTGTCCAGTGTTGGGAAGGTTACTTTTAAAATGTATTCCACTACAGATTACAGATTACATGCCCCAAACAGTATTTTGTAACGTATTCTGTTACGTTACTCAATGAGAGTAACGTAACAGAATACTTTGGATTATTTAATATATTATCATGCTTTTTACAACTACATGAATGTACTATGGCTGTGTGATTTATTATTATTACTGAAGGATACTCGCCATACCAATACCAACTAGATATTTAAATGTTAATATAAAATGAGTAACAGTAGGGTGG